AGCCGCCGTCGGCAGGCGACGGGGGCGCCGAGGCCCAGCCTGCTGCGCCGCTGCCCAGCGGCTCTGGCTCGCTCGACGCGGACGGCGGCGGCCACGACTTACGCACGTACTTCGGGCACCGCGTTTGCCTGAAGTGCTACGCCCACGCGAAGGAGGTGAAGGCCAAGCACAGGGGGCTCGGCACGGCCTGTGCCCCAGCGCTCAAGCCCAGCGCCCAGGCTTTGCGCAGAAGGAAGGCAGAGAAGATCATGAGAGTAGTGGCTCCTTCGGGGAGGTCGCTCACGTGATGGCGTCGCGGCGGGCTCCACTCCTTCTGAGCTGCCACCCGCGACGCCTGCTGCGTCGCCGCCGCTCTGCCCTGTCGAGTTGCCGCCGTTTGCGGCGACTCCAGAGGCGGCCAACAGGGCTGCCGTGCGTGCCGCGGCGCAGGAGCTGGACGCGCGCGCTGCGCGCACTCAGGCAGCAGGGGGAAAAATTCTCAGCCGCCGAGGGCGCAACCTATGATGCAACCGATAGGAGACGGTTGTATTCTCAGCCGCCGAGGGCACAACCTATGGCGCAACCGATAGGAAACCGAGCTGGAGCAGAAGGAAGACGAGGAAATCGAGGAGGATGAAGAGGAGGAGGACGAGGAGGAGGACGACGACGATGATCAGGATGGGGAGGAGAACGGGGAGGAAAACGAGTAGTACGAGGGCGAAGTGCGGGAATTCGAATGCGTGCGGGGCTGCGCCCGATTTCTGCTCGCCGTTTGGGTTGGCGGTGGGGCCCAAGCGGCGAGCTGTCTTATGATTTCTATTTTTTTGCATTCCCATGTTTTCGGTGTTTCAAAATGGCGTTCCCCGCTGCAGCGTGGGCCTCATTTTCGGATCGGTGCGTTGCCCCCGTCGTTCAGACTGGCACTCTCGCCCCAGAGCGGGCCATTTTTTTAGATTCGAGTCTTGCTTCATTGTGGTCCCCCCATCATTTCCCTTCCTCCGCCTTCCCCTGGTCCTCATGTTCCTCACCGCTCCTTCCACTCCAGTTCCTGCTGCTGCTATTCGTCTCGCCCCAGCGTGGGCCACTGTTCTGAATCGGAGTCTTTGTTCATCTTGGTCGCCCCCCTCATTCCCCTCCTCCGCCTTCTCCTGGTCATCCTTTCCATCCCGATCCTTCCGCTCGAGTTCCTGCTGCTGTTGCCGCTGCTGTTCGTCTTCATCCTTTTCCTCCCGCTCATCTTCTTGCTCACCCGCCACCTCCTCCTCCTCCTCATCCTCCTCCTCCTCTGCACGCAGCTCCCTTTTCTCCACCTGCGCACAACGCGAACTGGTCTTTCTGTGTGAGTCGCAGGTCGGCTATGACACGCGTACTTACGCGGACAGAGATAAATCAGCGCCATGGGACGGGATGGGAGGGGGGGATAGGATGTCAGATGAAGCGCGAGCGCACCTAGCTCACCTCAGCCTCCTCTTCGCCCACCTCGGCCTCACCCCCTTTCCCTCCGCCTCGACCCCCTCCCCTTCCCTCTCCCCCCATGCATTCTCCACCTCCTCCCCACGACCACGAAGACTGTGACGACGGCGGCAGGCGGCGACGACGACGGCGACGGCAACGCAAACTACGACGACGGCGGCAGCGACTGCCACAGAGACGGCGATGGCGGCAGCGACCACGGCGACGACGATGGCTGCAACGCGACGCTGACGACGACGGCGCCGCCGTCGACGGCGGCGATGGCAACGACAAAGACCTTGTGGCATCATCCAATCTGCTTTTTCAGTCCGCGTCCCCAGGGGCCCCGACCCCTTCCACGGAGGGGTTATGCGTCCCAGATGCGCTCCTGAGAACTCCTGGGCCCGAAAGCGGCCCCTGGCGGCCGAGCTCGAGCCCCGAGCAGCGCCCGGATTGTAACACGTCGTGCCGTCGGAGACGGTCAACCTAAAACAGGGCTAGGATCGGGATAAATCGCTCCAGAGCGTTCCGGAGCGCTCTCAGAGCGTTCCGGAACGCTCTGGAGCGGCCGCGGCGCCCAATACATCCTCCAAACCCGCCGATCCTCAGAGATTTCGAGTTATCCCGATCCGATTTTGTCCCGATCTTCGCGTCGTTTTACAACCCGCATAGTAAGGACGAGCGACTCTCCAAGGTTGCCCTTGCATCCTCTCCCTTCGGCCCCTCCTGGGCCGCCCTCGCTGGCCGCGCCCCGCTCGCGGAGGGTCGGCATTGCCTTCCAAGGCCCTTGCATCCTTGCCGTGCGTCCTTCTTATGCACGTCGACTGCTGGGGCACTCCAGACGACGACGACGACAACGGCGGCGGCGACTACGTCGGCGACGACGACGACGACGACGACGACGACGACGACGACGACGACGACGACGACGGCGGCGACGACGACTGCGACGGCGGCGACGACGACGACGACGACGACGACGGCGACGACGGCGGCGACGACGGCGGCGGCGGCGCGACGAGGAGCTGGGCCTCTGCCCGCCGCCGCGCGGCGTGCGCGCGCCCTTCGGGGCGCTGCCGGCGGGCGCGCCGTGGCGCGCGCGCCGCGCAGGCGGGGCGCCCGCCGCCGCCGACGTCGACGCCGTCGTCGTCGTCGTCGTCGTCGTCGTCGTCGTCGTCGTCGTCGTCGTCGCCCTCACCCGCCGAGACGCCGCCGTGGGCGGGCCCGTCGCTCGCGCCGCGGCCGCTCGCCGCCGCCGCAGCTCGTGGGGCGCCGCCGCCGCAGCTCCCCGCCGGTCCTCGCCGTCCGCCGCGGCCCTCGTCGCTCGCCGCCCATTGCGCTGGCGCTGGACCCCCTCGAGCGAGGAAGAGAGCACGACGGCGGGGCTTCCGCCATGTATAGGGCCGCCGGGAGCCCCTGCCAGGCCTCGGGGCCGTCAGAAGACGACTCGGGACGACAGACCGGACCCGGGGAGTAGGTCGACACCTCCAGGGGTCGACGTCATGAGAAAGTCATGGCGTCGGGGGCCTGGGCTTCTCGCTCGTTCTCGGAGGAGGAGAACTGAACCCATGCTGCTCCCCCTGGCTCGTTTTCCTTTTTGGCGCGGCCTTTTGGGAGGCCCTCGTCGCCGCCGCTGGATTTGCCCCGAAATATCGTGGTCAGAACGCACCCCAGGAGGGGTCGGGGGAGTAGCGGGACCGGCGCCTTTTGGTTTCCCCGCGCTCGCGGCCCCTGCGCCGGTGCAGGTGCCGAGGCCGAGACGCTGTTCGCGCCCGCTGACAGGCTGGGGCTCATCCTGCGGGCCGTCGAGGACTCGCGGGCCTCAAAGCGGCGCGGTGGCTGCACCGCTGCAGTGAGCCAGCGGGGACTCTGGGTGCCCGCGCAGTTCAGGGAGCCGGGTCGTTTTCCGAGAGCGTCTCGTGCGGCCGGGGCCTCCGCGGCCCCAAAGCCGAGCGGCAACGGACCCAGCGGTGAGGCTTTCGAAGTCACCGCGCGCCGCGCCGCACGGTGTCGGGACCCGCATATAAGTGGCGCCTCCGAGGCGAGGGGTTCTTTCTCTGGGAAAAGGGTTCGTTCTCCTGGAAAAGGGTTCGTTTTCCGGTTGTACTACCGAATCCTTATAGATTCCTGGGGATCCTTCGGAAAGGGTGAGTTCTCCGGGTGAGACCTCGTCGGGGATCCTCACACTTCTGCCAAAACGGACTATCGCAAATCGCAGCGAGCTGCCCTTAATGGAGGCGCCGCAGAGATGTCCCACCAGTCCGGCGGCTGCCTCGGGCCCCAGGCCTCCCACGCCTGCGGCCTCAGGAGGGCCTCGGCGGGCCCCCCCTGGCCGTCACAGCACGACGCGGGGGGCAAGGCCGGCCCTGGGAAAAGGGCCAGGGCTTCCAGGGAGCTTGTGCCGAACGACAAGGGACAGGGGAAAGGGCCAGGACTGCCAGGGCCAAGGACTTCCAGGGGCAGGACTTCCAGGGGAGGACTTCCAGGGAAAGGGGCCAGGACTTGCAGGGCCAGGACTTCCAAAAGTAGTCTGGGGACGATGTTTCGATTATTATTTTTGCCATGTATGATTATTTGCTTGGCTTATAAAATGTTCGCTTGCTTATTTGTTTGGTTTTTTACAACATGTTTCGTCCAAGATCCGCCTGTAGGGGGACATGCCCGACCCAGCATGACGTCGGATCTCCGAGGCGTCGGCGCCGACGCCCTCCCCCAGGGTGGGGCCTCACAGATTGGCCTGGCCAGGCAGACTTCTGCGGCGCGCCGCGGGCGAGCCCTGACTCCAGATCCGCCTTACTTTGGTTGTTTTTCCAACTTAAAAATTTGCATCGGAAATCCACCTATAAGGAGCCGAAACAGTAGGGCGGAAATTTCTGCACCCAACATAAAATGGGGCGGAAATCCACAGCAACAGCAACAGAAAAGTAAGGCGGAAAAATTGGCATCAGCGGGGCCTGAAAAGGAAGGCGGGAATTCCAAGCCCCACTTACGAATCTCCCCAGAGTAGGGCGGATCCGGAGTCAGGGGGGGCCTCGGGCCCGTCGGAAAGCGACTCGTGATGAAAAGCTGGCCCGGGGGAACGGGTCCAGACCTCGGGGGGTCGACGCGATCAGGGAGGCCGAGGGCCTCTGCAGGGCCCCCCGGGCGCCGCTGCTCTCGGCGGAGGCCTGCGCACTCGCCGGCCGGGCGCCCTGGGGGGAGGCCGGACCGGAGGAGGGCGCCCCCGCCCCTGCCCTGCGGCCCCTCGGCGGGATGGGCCGTGCCACGCCCCGGGTGGGCTCGGGCGGACAGAAGTCCTCGGGAGACAGAAAAACAAGGCCATGCAGGGCAAGAGAGGGTCGAAAGCAGCAAAAAGCCCAGAAACTTACTCGTCTTGCTCGTCCTCCTCTTCCTCCTCCTCCTCCTCCTCCTCCTCCTCCTCCTCCTCCTCCTCCTCCTCCTCCTCTGCCTAAAGCACGCGGCCCGCCGCAGTCGCGCCGCACGCAGCGATCGGCACGCCGCGCGCCAGAGGGTACCAGGGCTGCGCGCGGCCGGGCGGGCGGCCCCGCCGAGAGGACGAGGTCGACGCCATGGGCCTCGTCCGGAGAGGGCTGCTCGAGGACGTGTTCCCCTTCCCCCGCGACGGCCGCGGCGACCTCGGCTTCGAGCTGCACAGCGAGCTGGCTCCCGGGGGCCCCCAGGCGGTGCGGAGGCCACACCGTGCGGTGAGTCAGTGGGCGTCCGGGGTGGCCGGACGGCTTGGGGACGGGACTCGAGTCGGTCTCCAGGACGTCTCAGGCGATTGCGTCCTCCAGGGTCCCACAACGACACGGTGACGGAGCGTGCGGTGAGGTCTTTGTGGATCTCGAGGCCACCGCATGGTCTGTCACCGCACGGCATCGGGGCCCCACAGGCTCGCTGCTGGGCGTGGGGGCTCGGCCTGCTCGCCGCGGTCGGACTTGCGGTCGAGGTGCTGGGCCGGGCGTCAGGGGACGCCATGGCAGGCCACCTGACGCTCGCGCACGCGTGCCTCCTGGCGTGGTGGTCGGGCGGGGCCGAGACCGAGATGCACAGCTCAAACCGCGTTCTGGAACGCTCTCCGAGCGCTCCTGGAGCGCTCTGGCACGGCCGCGGCGCCCGAGACATCCTCCACACCTGCCGGGTCTCAGAGACCCGGAGGGAGTGAGGGAGGGAGTGAGGGAGGGAGGGAGGGAGGGAGGGAGGGAGGAGGAGGAGGAGGAGGAGGAGGAGGAGGTGGTCCTGGCCTCGTCTCAGGTGGCTGCCGCTGGTGCACCTCCTCTGCGCGGCGAGGCGCGAGGCCCTGCTGCTGCGGCAGGGGCTGCTCCGGGAGCACCAGCTGCTGGCGCGCGAGCTGCGGCCGCCGCGCATGGAGTGCCGCAAGGCGCTCCGCACCTCGCCGGCCACCTGGCGCGCCGACGACTACGTGCGCCGCGCCGGCGTCTCTCTGGCGGTGCTCGCCCTCGTCGTGGGAGTCTTCGCGTGGGTGCACCACCTCATCGGGCTCGCGGTGCTGCTGTGCGGCCATGGTGGCTACGAGGACGCGTCGTGGCTCGTGGCGTCGGTGAGCGTGCTGCAGGTCCCTGGTCTGAACTGGGCGCTCAGGATCAGGGGGGGAAGAGCCACCCGGACCCGACAAGTGGCGTTTCCTAAACGGCCCTGGGCGCTTACTAAACAGCCTTGCCCTGTTTGATTCCTTATTTGGGCGCGTTTACTAACGACTTCGCGTGTCCGGGTGGTTATTATGGGGGTGGATTGTTTGACCTCTACAGGAGAGCCGCGATCTTCTTGACCAGGTGTGAGGATCACCGGTCGGATAGCTCGTTCCAGCGCGCCTACCTCCAGAAGTCTGCGGTGCTCCAGCTGGCGAACACGGTCGCGCTGCCCGTCTACGTCGGGCTCTTCCTCGACCTTCTCGAGTCCTATGGGAGCCCCCTGGTCGAGGCATCGTGGAGTTGCGCGACTGCTGAGCAAGGCCAGGAGCGCTGCAGGTCCGAGCGGCTGAACCGCCAGCTGTACGCCACGCTCCTGGCCTTCATCGCGAAGGCCCTCGCCACCTTCGTCCGAGCGCATCAGGCGTGGATGCACCATGTACAGCGTCACGCCGAGGAAGCCCCCAGCGTCTCCCGCAGCGCGGTGGCTCAGGACCCAGGAGAGCAGCAGGTCGTCCTCCGGCTGGACGTCACCATCAAGGGGGCCGCCGAGCTCCCGGACACCAGCGTGATCGACACGCCCGATCCCTACTGCGTCTGCGAGGTGAAGGGCGACCACGGCCGCACCCTGGCCCGCTTCCGCACGCGCAGCGTCGGGGACTGCCTGAGCCCCGAGTGGAACCACCGCGGCAGCATCCGCTCGTACACCCCGGGGAGCGCGCTGGCCTTCACCGTCAAGGACTCCAACCTGGGGCGCGACACGGTCCTCGGCGCCGCGACGCTGGACTATGCAGAGCTCAAGCCCCTGATCGCTGGCGCGCCGGCGCCCCGCGGCAGCGCTGGCGATGTGCCCTGCTGGCAGGCAGGCCGCTGGCTGCCCTTGGCGCAAGTGGCCGGCGAGGGGGCGGATGCCGCCGGGAAGAGGGGGCCAGCGGTGCACGTGGCCGTGGCGTGCAGGCGCATCCCTCGCCTCGTTCGTCTGCTGGATGCGGCGGCGGCGGCGCCGCGGGTGGTGGGAGAGCACGAGCGGCAGGAGCAGAGCTCTCGGAGTTCCGCCCGGACCTGTCGGATAGGCGCTGGGCCGCCCCTGGCACGCTCCGCGCTCCACGGAGGGGCCCAGCGCCGATCCAAGAAGTCTGTGCGGAATTCCGAGAGCTGATGCATCTGATGCAGATTGTTCTTCCTCCAGGTGGGGGACGCGCGGCTGGACATGCGCTGGGAGGCGGACGACGTCGTGGAGCGCGCCCTGCTGCTGGCGCTGCTGGTCGTCTCCTCGGCCACGCTGCCCGCCGCAGGTCGTCAGACCTCTCATGGGGCGCGTTGTGACCAGGATTTCGAGGCGAATTCGGCCATGGCGACGAGCCTCCACGCCGAACAGCGGTATCGGTGCCAGATCTCCGACGTGGTGTTTTTTCTATGTGGGGTCCCTGGAGCTCTGGAACACGTCCCAAGGACCGTCCTTGCATCCGGAGTTCGTTGTTGACGGTCCCAGGGCCTGGCGATGGCCGCCAGATGCAGAAAGAGGACGAAAAAGCCTTGCGTCGTGCTTTTTGCCCCATTCTTTGGAGGTCTGGGGAGGGGTCTCCGCGACGAGCAGCCGCACCGATGTCCTTTCGTCAGAGGCTGCGCGGGAGCCCGGGGCCCTTGCAGGCGTTGTGCGCTCGGTGCCGTTCGTGCGCGCGAGTGGGGCTGCTTTGGTGCATGACTTCGTGCAGCCTCTCCCCGCGCCCTGCGGGGGGTCTCCCCCCTCTTCCTCTTCCTCCTCCTCCTCCTCCTCCTCCTCCTCCTCCTCCTCCTCCTCCTCCTCATCCTTCTTCTCCTCTTCGTCCTCCTCCTTCTCCTCCTCCTCATCCTCAGAGGCTGCGCGGTGCTGCTGTGCTGGCTGCTGCAGCTGCAGGCCCTCTCGGACTCCGCGCTGCGCGGCGCCAGGCGGCCACTGCCTGCGGAGCCCGACGCCGCCGCCTGGCGGCCCGGGGTCGCCGCCGGTGCTGCTGGGGCCGATGTTTCACCACCACTACCAGAAGGAGGAGGAGGAGGAGGAGGGAGGAGGGAGGAGGGAGGAGGGAGGAGGAGGAGGAGGGAGGAGGTGGAGGAGGAGGAGGAGGAGGGAGGAGGAGGAGGAGGAGGAGGAGGGAGAGAAGGGAGGAGAAGGAGGAGGAGGAGGAGGAGGAGGAGGCGGAGGAGGAGGAGGAGGAGGAGGAGGAGCAGGACCTCCTCATCCACCCTTCTCCCCCGTCCTGCACCTGGTAGTGGTGGTGGAAAAGCTGCCCATCAGGCGTGGCTGCCGCTGGGGCCGCCTACGCCGCGCTGCTCACCTGGCCGGCGCGGCTGGTGCATCTCGGAGGGGGGCCAGTCGTCGCGGGCGGGTAGCACATCCATGCCCCCGGCCTCGCGCTCTTGCTACACCAAAACATGTCGATGCAGGAGATCCGCAGATTCGGAGCAGCTGCGGAGCTACATTTGACGACGGCCATGGCAAGTGACTGGGAGCTCTGAGCTCCACGAGGTCCCCGGCGGCAGCCAGGCGGACGGTTTACCGCCGGTGCCCAGACCACGGCCTCGCGGGCAGGGACCCCGTGCCGCGACGCCACGGGATCGGGGAGCTGCTCGCGGGGGAGGCGCCGCGCGGAGCGTGCAAAACCACGGGAGCGCGCCCCGGCGCCCAGGCAGCGGAGGCGCGGGCATGGATCTGTGCGCCGGCCGTGACGTCGAGACAGCGGCGGCTCGCCCAGGCGGTTTGGGCCTCCTCCTTTGATTATCATTGTTATTACAATTCATGTTATTATGATGATGATAATTTTTTATCGGAATTATTATTACGATTAATTATTATTATTATTATTATTATTATTATTATTATTATTATTATTATTATTATTATCATCATCATTATTATCATTATTATCTTCATGATCATTAGTAGTATTAGTGTTAGTATTATTGATAATATTATGATTATGATTATGATTATTGCTGTTAGTCGTTATTTTCATTATTCGTAGTGTTATTATTCGTTGTATCAGTAGTATTGTTATTGATAATATGGTTCGTGTTATTGTTTCTCCTCCTCCTTTATACCATTGTATTTATCATGATTATTCTTCTGAGTATCATTATGTATACTTGTTTCATATGATTCGTAGTCTTCTTCTTCTTCTTCTTCTTCCTCTTCTTCTTCTTCTTCCTCTTCTCCTCTGCCTCCTATATGGGAGGCTCCCCGTCGCCGCCGCCCATGCAGGTGGGGCCCGCCTCGCGGGCCCGGGAGGACCCTGCAGGAGGGGCCCGGGTCTCGGCCCCGAGCGGGCTGCAGGCCCTGGGCCCGGAGGGCTCCCAAGAGGGTTTCTGGGGAGGTTTTTTTTCCAGAGAGCCCTCCCTCCCTCCCTCCTCCTCCTCCTCCTTCAACTCCTCCTCCTCCTCCACCTCCTCCTCCCTCCCTCCCTCCCTCCCTCCCTCCCTCCCTCCCTCCCTCCTCCTCCTTCTCCTCCATCTCCTCCTCCTCCTCTTCCTCCTCCTCCCTCCTCCTCCTCCTCCTCCTCCTCCTCCTCTCCTGCCTCTTGCCTGCCTTGGGGGATGAGTCCATTGAGGTACCCCTCTAGAGAAAGAAAATCCTGGGCCACCTCCATCCACATTTGTCACCTCAGGAACCAGGGGCGATATCTGGAACCTGAGGCCGCGACAGGAGGTGGACCCAGGCTTCTGATCATTCAGGCCAAGCCTTAAGATCAGGAGGAAGTTTCCCAGCCATCAGAGCCCTCCCCACCCTCCTCCCATGGTCTGTGAGGCCAGGTACACACGTTCGCCCCAATTTCAGCAATTTGCCTCTTGAGGGAGCCCCTGACCCTCCACAGAGCTGGCACCAATACACGCCCCTGTAAGCTTCCAGCTTATGGGAGGGGTGGTTGGTGGTGGGCTGGCCTGGGCAGGGCGACCGAAGGAAAGCCTCTCGCTCGCCTCCATCGGACTGAAAACACACAGTGCAGCGCCAGGCGCCCTCTGCTCCACGACGTGAGACGACTGAGAGACGAGGAGGGCCAGCTGCGATTCCTTCTCCTGGCGCAAAGCCGCAAGGGAACTCTTAGCCTCCTCCTGGCGGTTGCCCTTAAACGCTGCTCCGTAAAGGTTGGGGGCCTGCTGAACAAGGGCCATAAACACCGCCAAGATGGAGCCGAGAACTTTGTGACACAAATTATCAGATTCTGCTACCTGACGCCTTGCATGAAACGGGATCTGGGCCATCTCAGCTCCTTTCTACGCAGCCTTATCCGCCAGACGATTTGCCTGCCAGTGGACGGGGTCGAAGCCCAGGGTGACTGCATCCTCGTGAGAAAGGTGAGATCGGATCTTGTGCACTGTGATCGGACGAACACCAACAGCGCGCCAGAGGTCCTTCCACATCGAAACCATCTTTTTGTGCCTGAAACGGGCCCTGCACGAATTCCCCGCACGACACCATCATTATCTATCACGCACTCTATGGGGCCTGTGGTGAGCTGGGCCGCGCGAGTGATAGCATACAGTTCAGCAGCAGGCACTGTCTGGTTATCACACGGCAGAGGGCCAAGCCCCCACGCTACGTGCTGGGCGCCTCTCAAGATGGCAAAGCCCCAGCCGAGGATCCGAACCGTCCTCACCCCCCGCCCCGTCCGACCCGATCACACACCCCTGATCAAGCTCATAAGGATTAGCCTCGAGCTGGTCCGAGAGCTTCTCTTCCCCCTGGATCGGGACACACACATGCTGGTACGTCCAGGCCAGGGGAGGCAGACCTCGGAGCCAGAAAGACGGGGCGTCTCCCGATTCAGCTTCCGCCTGCCTCCTCAGGGAAGCGCTGAAACCTGGGATGGGGTCATTCAGAGGGCAACTCCAGAGCTGGTGGAGAAGGGTCTCTTGAGGCGCTCCACACCGAGGGCAGGAAGGAGATGACCAGACTGGGTTGGGCCCAAGGAGGGGCTCGTCATCACACAAGCCACAGTGCAAGTCCTCTTGAAATTGCAATTCGTCTGCTGCGTGCGACGCCTCATCTAGCATCGCATCGAAATCACATTCCTCCTCGTCTAAGCCAAGCGAGGTTCGCGGAGGATCGGAGGGGAGAGGAGCTCCATCGGGGGCCTGGGGCCTCGGGAAGGGTCTCCTAGCCTCATCCCCAAAACGCCGCGAGGCGGGCCACAGGGCCCCCGACACAATCATGTCTAACACTCCAGCCTTGTCGTAGGCTCCCGAGGCTCTAAGTTTGTTCAACCTCCGAAGCGGCACAAACATGCCAGCTCGACCTGCCAAGCTGCTGCCATGATAATGTTCGCTGGCTTTTTTTTCCATGCAAGAACATCAAACGCCTCCAGCAAGTCAACCGTGAGACGTTCTGGGTCACAGGCGAGCACATTGAACAAATCACCATCCGTTCCCATCCAGGTGGTGGGATCCTGCGGCGTCCAGCCTGCTTCCAGCAGGCATGCAACAGTGGCGGCCACAGAGCCTGACACTCGCTTCCAGCGGGTGGCAGGGTCCTGCAGTCGGGCTAGCTCTTGTTCCCACGCTTTGCGGAGACCATGCTGGTTAGCCTCCAGCAGGCTCGGAAGCAAGTGAATCCACTCCTTCAAAACTCGCATTCTGGTCGAGATCATGGGGTCATGGCGGGGGTCCTGGAAAGCACAGCGCAGAACCGTGGTAGCACACCCCCCCTTCTCTCCCCCCCCCCCCCACACACACACACACACACACCACCATGCCCGCCATGGCCGCTCTGGCCTTTAAGGCCAGGGTCGGACTCACCCCTTGGGCCTCGAGGCCCCAAAGGGCCGGGGCTGTCCACCCAGTCCGTGCTAACATCCCACAGCGACGGCCCGTCTTCACAACTCGTTTAATCATGCTCGCTCGATGGCTGGCTGACTGGAACCGCTGCTTGGGTACTGCTACTGAGCGCCTCACTCCTACAGTGCCAATGCCAAGGTCCTTACCCCCTGTGCCCCCCTTCAGCGAGAAACCGCGCCGAGCCAAATCTGCGAGGACCTCCTTGGCCAGGGCAGGGGGGTTGGAAAGGACCTGGCTTTTGGCCGAAATCTTGGAACCTGCTGGTTAGGGCAGTGCCCAGGCCACCACTAGCCTCAACAGCCTGTTTCACAATAACCTCAGCCTTGCATATGTGTCGCTGACTCAGGTCATCCACCCAGGTCTCCAGGGCCAGGGGTCGAACATTGGCATGGGCGTCCTCCAGGATATCCCAGAGAGCGACCTTCGAGATGTCAACGCTCTGGGAGCAGCCTGCCAGGAGGCTCCTGGGTGGGCGCAAAGCCTGGGAGATGGCACCTGAAGCACGAAGGCGTCGCGGGGCCCTGTGCATATCTAAGGCCAGGAACAAGGGCATGAGAGGGTAGTCCACGCCAGCTGCTATGTCTACTACTGGGCGCAAATCTACATGGTCATAGAATTTCTCGAGGTCCCATAGGATCTGGATCCAGCTGAAACCCATCGCCGTTGCGATCTCACACTGTGTCTGCCGAAGTATGGCAGCTCGCAGAGCCGAAGAATCCCTCGCCGCCCGATCCCAATACTGAGCCCGCTCCACCGTCCAGTTCGATATGTCTTGCCGACGCGCTCTGCCCCAGACTCGGTAAAGGCCCTGGGTTAGCGCTATCGGTCGGTCTGCAACTACACGTTTAAACATTAGCTGGATGATGATGAGCCTGACCTGGGGAGGCCAGGCGAGCTCGGCTTCTACTATCCTGAGGAGATCTACAAGCTCTTGGAGGGCCTCGGGTGGGAGCTGCAACCAATCCCGCGGGTTCTGGAAGTCAGCTCCCTGCCCAACAACAGGTTTGAAACATTTGAGAGCATGCGCAATTTGGTGACTGGAGAGGGGTTCCCGCGACTGGGCATCACGAGAAGCCCTGGCCCGAAAATCTTCCCACCAAGAGGGCTCAGTTCCCCTCGGACCAGAAAGCCAAAGCCCTCCCCAGAGTTCCGCTTTTGACGCAAGGGACCCGGTGGGGTCGTGCAAAACTCTGCCATTCGGGTCGCGCTCAAGGCTGAGACTCGGCGCCTCCACGCCCCAAGTCTTGGTGTGGAAGTGAATGGCTCCGATCCCCTTAGTGAGGGAATGGCGCAGCCAGTCCTTAAATTCTCTGGATGATTGCCGAGTGAAGTAAGCTTCAACTCGCCTCAGAATCCGAAAAAAAAAAAGCTTCCTGTGGCCAGCCTCCAGGGTCCCCCTGGATGCCTGATCCCCAAGCAGGCCCAGGGCATGGAGCACCTCTTCCTCCTTCCTCTCTTCTAGAAGCCTCGGCAGCTTCTGAACTCTGGCCAAAGCAAATCTGAATTCAGCTACTGCTTTGCCTATGGGCTTCGACTTCCTGACAAGTCCGACCCAGGCACTGAGACGCGTGTGCAAGGCCGACCAGACTGAGAGGTTGGACGCTTCCGCAAGCCATCCCTGTGGCTTTGCCTCAACAGGGGGAACCTGCTGCACATCAATGTGAAATCCTCGGTGCATGTCAGCTTCACTGAAACTACTGGAAGGGTCCCTGTTGGTTTGGAACGATTCAGCTGCCAGGCAAAACTGCATATACGACTTGCCTAGGTCACGCACCTGGCCTGGAACCTGCTGCCACTGGTCGATCCCCATGCCGCGCTGGCCGAGGGGCCCCACTCTCTGTAAATGGGTCTCCCAAGGAAGGTCTGGGCCTTGGGCTCTAACCAGGGGCGGAGGCTGTGTGAGGAGCCAGTGCAGCTGCTGAAACCTAAAACAGTCTAGAGTCCCAAGAAGCCCCGTGTGCGGAAGGGCCCAAGGGGAAAACCTGTCCCACGAGAGTGTGAGAACTGTGCTGAGAGCCTCTGAAACCAGACAGAAGTCAATCGTCCTGGCTCCGCCAGGAGCCTCCCCAGGAGCAGCTCGGAAGACGCCGTGCAGGTAAGTCTGAATGCCACTCTCCGCCACCTCGTCTATCTCCATGTTCCAGTCGCCCGCGATGACGCACGGCTTGCCCTGAGAGCGCACGTGCCCTGCCACCTCTGCGAGGGTGGTGGTGGTCTCCCCTTGCAGGCCCAGTCCCGTGACCAGGTACAGCGAGACGAAGACGACATCGATGTCCCGCATGCGCACCGTCTGGCTGGTCCACTGCGTCTCCATGCTCGTGGCCCGCTCCTCCTGCACTGTCTCTTCACCTCAGGGTAAAGCGGCGCACACCGCAGCCACTTCCTGGTCATGGCCCAGACTCCGCCATGATATCCACCACGCGCTGTGCCAACTGCCGACTGGGAAGTCACAGCCCAGCCTGACCGACTGAGCCTCTTGATCGCCTGCACCTGCTGGGCACCATGGAGGTGGTGTTCTGCAATCATGACAGTGTCCGAGACAGCAACGCCACCATCTGACTGATTCAGGTAGTCCCACGCCTTCTGGCCCCAAGACGTGGTGTGGGCGAAATAAAATCGGTGCTGGTCCTTGCCCGTGTTCTGCTTCTGCTTAGCCCTGGCCACCAGCCCAGCTCTATCCCTTCCAGGCTGAGACGCGTTCTCGCCAGTCAAGGCTCCCAGCTGGTCGGTACCCCCAGCCACTGGCTGAGGATGCGTGCCAGCAGAGCCAGCTGCGTGGCGACGAATGGGCACACCTCCAGCAGCAGCCGCCGAACTCGAACCACCCCTGGCCGATGATCCAGACGATCCCCCGCTCTGCCCCCAAGACTCCGCTGGTGCAGCCAGGGCGCGGCAGAGGCGCAGCCCTCGGCTCCTCCAGGGGCGCAGCTGGAGGAGCGCCACGCAGGGGTCTCTTGAGAGTGAGCGTCAGGGCGCCAGCCGAACTCGAAGTAGTCGATCTCCGCTCTGCTCCCAAGACTCCGCTGGTGCTGCCAGGGCGCGACAGAGTCGCTGCCCTCAGCTCCTCTAGGGGCGCAGCTGGAGGAGCACCGCACAGGGGTCGCTTGGGAGTGAGTGTCGGGGCGCCAGTCGTTAGCGCAGTTTCCACATCGACCTCAGTCACGTCGGAGGTCCGCTGGCCCTCATCGCGAGGAAGGCCCAGCAGGTCCCTCATCTCATCTTTGATCCTGCGCAGCTCCTCCCAGTGGCGGCGGAGGGCCCAGCGCAGCATCTCCCTGTCATGATCCGCAGCCCAAACAAAGAAGCCGAGGATGTTTACACGATTATCAGCTCCATCATGCCAGGACTCCGTGCATATGTCTTCCGCCATCTGGTCTACGGTCATGTCCTGGCGAGCCTCCTGCACCCAGTCAAGGTCCCAGGCCTGCAGGAGCAGCTCCCTGACGTAGGGCTTGCACCACCTCATCCAGCTGTCCGCCCCGGACTCAGGCGAATGCAGACGAGGGGTCCATCTGGCAGCCGACTCTGTGATACCGTCGTAGAAGACCGCCTCAGGCCCATCTTCGTCGATGGGCTCTGGCGGCGGCAGCCCCATGGAGCCAGGAGCGGGCCGATCTGCACCGCTCCGCGCTGCTGGGCCAGCTCGATCTCCAGCAGGGCGCCTTCGTGAGGAGCTGGCCCCCCTCAGGCTGCTGCAGTAGTCTGAGGGGGCGGCGGGCGGCTAATCCTGGCGGTCCGCTGCTTGACCCCATCACCTTCCACAGCTCCTGCCACTGGCGTCCCAGGCGCTGGCTCTGAAGCGGCCGCGGCAGCTGCAGCGCCATTTTCTTCAGGCTGCCCAGCGGCGGGACCAGGCTTGGGTTCGTCACCAGGAGCAGCCCCACCTCCCTCCTGACGTCTGCGCTTGCCTGCAAGGCGCAGTGCCATCTGCTCCTGCTCGGTCTTGAAAGCCTTGGCCTTCTCAGCCGCCTGCCCGAACATGGCTCGGACCGCCGCCGACAGCTCAGACTGCAGTCTAGTTGTGCGGTCAGCCAGCTCGCGCTTGTCAGCCTCCTCCATATCATATTCTGCATCATCGAAGCCCAGGCCCGCGAAGGACAGAGGAATCGACTCGATCGTGCCGCCCAAGATGCCCGCCACGCTGAGCGCCTGGGGCTGGGCGTCCTGCTGCGGCGGCACGAACTTCGCATTGAGCTCCACCACCAGCCTGCGGTGCGCCGCCTCACGCTCCTCAAGCTCGTCCGAAAGCTGCTGCACCCACTGGCGCTGGTGCTCGAGCCCCTCAGAGAGGCGCTCGAAGTGGGCCACAGCCTTCTCCAACTTCTGATTGACTTCCGCCACCTGCTTGTGGGCCAAGGTGACCCGCTGGGACAGCGGAGCGACATACTCCTTCTCAGCCGCTTCGCGCTTCTTCTCAAGGAGGACCCTCCTGTGCTTCGCCGCCGTGGCTGTGTCACCAGCTCGCTCCAACATCGGCACCAGCTGCCCCAGGTCGTTGATCTCCATGTCAGAGTTCGCTTCCTTAGGCTGGGCCACCAGGAACTGGGCCCCTGGCGCCCGAAGCAAGGCTGGGCCTCCTCCACTCGCGTCGTCTTGCCAACATCATCTTGCTGCTGTGGTTGGCCAGCATCGCCCCAGACTCCTCTAGGTTCTGGTGCTGCTGCAGGGGACAAGTCGGATAGCTTGTGGCCGCACGCTTTGCAATACAAGCTCCCTCGAACATTCTTCTTGCACCCGCACTTGGCACAGGCAGGTGCCCTTCCAACTTCTTTCCAACCTTCGTAGTCGCCAGGGCCCATGTCTCTCCACTCGCGCCATCGCCCCCCCCAGGCTGGGGGAACAGTCTTGTGCCACGGCGGGCGCCCTGCAGGAACGGCCGCAGGAGGAGCCATGGGAGTAACAGGAGGCAGAAACTGGACAGACTCGGAAGGTTCGTCGTCCTCCTCAAGGGAGTTGCTCCGGCAGGAGCTCGCATAAGGTATCTGAACCAGTTGCCTGGTGCAGGATCACTGGCGGGGGCGCGCTTCCCCCACGCCAAAAGGCCAAGTGCATGAGCCGAATGGCTTGAGCCAAAATGGCTACGGCCCTCCTCCTCCTCCTCCTCCTCCTCCTCCTCCTCCTCCTCCTCCTCCTCCTCCTCCTCCTCCCTCCTCCTCCCTCCCAGAGGTCTCGGAGCCTCGTCGAAACAGGGGGTGCGGAGCCCCTGGGGGACCGCCCCTGGAAAGCCCCCTCCCCCTCCCCAAATTCCACCTCTGGTGGGGCGGGCGCGTCGCCGCTCTCTCAGCTGGCCCTCCCTCCCCAGACCTCCTCGCGCTGTGGACAGCAAAAGATCACGACGGGCGGTGTTTCGCCATTCTCGGCACCTGGCCTCGGGGCCGTCAACAGAACGACTCAGGATGGAGAGCCGGTCCTGGGGAAGGGGTCCAGACGATCGGTGGGCGCGACGGGAGGCGTTTCGCTGTCTTCGGCCTCTCGGGGCCCTTCCCGGGCCTCGGGGTCGTCAAAAAGCGACTCGGGACGGAAAGCCGGTCCTCGGGGAGGAGGAGGAGGAGGAGGAGGAGGAGGAGGAGGAGGAGGAGGAGGAGGTGGAGGAGGAGGAGGAGGAGGACGTAGTGACCTCCTCGGGGGGTCGTCAAAAAAACGATTCATGACGGAAAGCCGGTCCCCGGGGAAGGGGTCCAGACCTCCTCGCGGGGGCGACGTAGTGATCGGGGGTGGACAGGCCTCCTACCCTGACACGTCGATTCAGGAATTGGCCGTTTTGGGTTCGCGAGAGGGCGTCGCGGCCGTCATTTTTGCGGGTCCAGGTCCGTCGGTTTCGGTCCTAGGCCGTTCTCTGTAAGGGGAGGTTTACTAAGGGGAGGTTTGTCCACCGCCGAAGGGACAAAAACTACGACGTCGGGGGTCTGAGTCCGAACCCGGACCGCCGACGCCGTGGCTCCTGTCGCCGCGTGGGCCCCGGGAGCGCGACAGGCATGGACGCCGTTCCCCGGGTCCGGCCGAGCGTCGCCACTGATGGGCTTGTTCTCCACCGCCATCACCAGCATAAGCTGGAGGGGGGAGGAGGAGGAGGAGGAGGAGGAGGAGGAAGAATAGGAGGAGGAGGAGGAGGAAGAATAGGAGGAGGAATAATATGAGGAGGAAGAAAAGGAGGAGGAGGAGGAGGAGGAGGAGGAGGAGGAGGAAGAATAGGAGGAGAAGGAGGATAAATAATAGGAGGAGGAGGAGGAGGGGGAGGAGGAGGAGGAGGAGGAGGAGGAGGAGGAGGAGGAGGAGGTGGAGGAGGCAACAGGAGGAGGAGGAGGAGGAGGAGGAGGAAGAAGAACAGGAGGAGGAGGAGGAGGAGGAAGAATAGAAGGAATAATAGGAGGAGGAGAATAGGAGGAGGAGGAGGAGGAGGAGGAGGAGGAGAAGGAGGAGGATCACTGACCAAACTGCCAGGTCTGCGAGCAGGCCGCCATTGAGCAGTCCCTCGGGACCGTTGGCCGCATTTGGGACTGCCAATGGGGGGCGCCCATTGCTGGGGGAGACCCCAACTCGCAGCCTGTTTATGGGGGATGCTAGCGAGGTCCCGCCCTGGCGAGCAAGTCCTACACCCACGGCGTGGCAAGTCCTGCATCCATGGCGTGGCAAGTCCTACATCCACGGCGTGGCAATGTCTACATCCGGCTCCCTCTCGTGGAGGGCGGCTCCCTCTCGTGGAGGGCGGCTCCCTCTCGTGGAGGGCGGCTCCCTCTCGTGGAGGGCGGCCCCCTCTCGTGGAGGGCGGCTCCCTCTCGTGGAGGGCGGCTCCCTCTCGTGGAGGGCGGCTCCCTCTCGTGGAGGGCGGCTCCCTCTCGTGGAGGGCGGCTCCCTCTCTTGGGGGGCGGCCCCCTCTCGTGGAGGGCGGCTCCCTCTCGTGGAGGGCGGCTCCCTCTCGTGGAGGGCGGCTCCCTCTCGGGGAGGGCTGGCAATTCCTACATCCACGGCGCGGCAATTCCTACATCCACGGCGTGGCAGTTCTTACATCCACGGCGTGGCGATTCCTGGTAATGCCTACATCCACGGCGTGGCACTTCCTACATCCACGGCGTGGCAATTCCTACATCCACGGCGTGGCAAGTCCTACATCCACGGCGTGGCAATTCCTACAGCCACGGCGTGGTAATTCCTACATCCACGGCGTGGCGATTTCTTTATTCACGGCGTGGTCATTTCTGCATCCACGGCGTGGCGAGTCTTACATCCACGGCGTGGCAATGCCTACGTCCACGGCGTGGCAATGCTTACTACCACCCGTGGCAATTCCTACATCCACGGCGTGACAATCTCAAAATCCACGGCGTGGCAATTCCTACATCCAGAACCAAGGAGGAGGTCGACGACCACGGCGTGGCTAATCGTACAACCACGGCGTGGCAATTCCTTCATCCACGGCGTGTCATTTCCTACATCCACGGCGTGGCAACTCCTACATCCACGGCGCGGCACTTCCTACATCGATAGGTGGAGGGAGGACCAGCGGAGGAGTCCTGCGAGGGGGGATCGGGAGGATCAGGATGAGCAAGAGGACGGACGTCCAGCTCGGCGTCCCACCGGATGAAAGGGGAGGATGGCAGGGAGGGAAGGCGGGGTAGGGGCCGTGCAAGGGCAGGCCTTCCAAGGCCCGAATTATGCCTGTGTCGCCCAGGGGGGCCTAGCCCAGGGGGGCACTGCGGTGGTGCTCATCGGGGGCTTGACAGACAAGCCCCCTTACAGGCGCCCCGTGCGTCCACCGCAGTCTCCCCCCAGGGCTGCAGCCTCCCGTCGGCACGGGGAGGAGAAGGAGGAGGAGGAGGAGGAGGAGGAGGAGGAGGAGGAGGAGGAGGAGGGGGAGGAGGAGGAGGAGGGGGAGGAGGAGGAGGAGGAGGAGGAGGAGGAGGAGAGAGGAGGGATGAGGAGGAGGAGGAGGGGGAGGTGGTCGCGGTGGGACACAGTCCCACCAACATCGCCAAACATTGTCCGTCGCGGCTTCTGCCACGACGCGAGGGGGTCTGGGAGCACGTCACCCCCTCGCGGCGGCCTGCTCGCCCGCGATCGGCAGCGCGCAGTCGTCGGCGCTCGGGTGGGCGCGAAAGCCATACGTCGGAGGCCCATGCCAAGAAACACCCTGCTTGCCTCCAGGGTGCCCCGGGTTCCTTGGGCTTCGATGGTTTTGCGATGGGACAGCGTGACGTTCCCACACCGAAAATCGATGGACGTTCTGGGCTCTCAGGGTTGGGTTTCTTGTGGTCGGGCCCCCACTGTACATCTACACGGGTCCTGCCCCGGCCGCTCGTGGGCCCAGGAGATGATGTGCACATGCCCTCACGACCAATCGAGACCCCCTCGAGCAATGAAGCGGCCCCTGGGGGCCTGGGCCTCGGGGCCGTCAACAGAACGATTCAGGACGAAAAACCGGTCCCGGGGAACAGGTCGAGACCTCGGGGGGTCGACGTCATGAAAAAGTCACGACGTCGGGAGTCTGGGCATGCCCTCGCGATCAAGTGGGAGGAGGCAACATGTCTTTCATGTCTTCGGGGGGCGGGCCTCTTCAGAAGGCGGCGGGGCTTCTCAGAAACTCGAACGCCTCCTGAGGAGTTGTCTGAGCCTTCTCTTAAGTCGGGCCTGTCCCTCTACAGGAGCAATATTCAAAAATAGTAAACGAGTAGTCTGGGGAAGATGCTTTGACTATTTGGGAGCACTTCGGGGGGCATGCTCGGAGCATTTGTTGTTCATGTTTCGCCCACGATCCCCCCTGCGTGGGGGACAGGCCCGACCTGAGCCTTCTCCGAAAGCAGTGGCGGCTTCTCGGAAGGCCGAGGGGCGACTCCCGAGAAACACTCCGCCGCCTTCCGAGAAGGCCCGCCATCCCTCTCGGTTTCCCCCCGGGCCCGCCGCCGATCCCAAGCCCCCGACGGCATGACTGCGTCAGGGCGTCGGCCCCCAGGATCCCCCAGGAGTCTCGACCCTCCTCCTCCTCCTCCTCCTCCTCGTTCTCCTCCCCCTCCTCGTTCTCCTCCCCCTCCTCCTCGTTCTCCTCCTCCTCCTCCTCCTCCTCCTCCTCCTCCTCCTCCTGCTCCCCCTCCTTCCCTCCTCCTTCTTCCCTCCTCCTCCTCCTCTCTCTCCTCCGCCTCCTCCTCCTCCTCCTCCTCCTCCTCTCCTCCTCCTCGCCCTCCTCCTCCTCCTCCTCCTCCTCCTCCTCCTCCTCCCCCTCCCGGGGACCGACTTTTCATCCTGAGTCGGTTTGTGACGGCCCCGAGGCCCAGTGAGGGCCCCCCAGGGGCCGAGCATGGCGAAAAACCTTCCGTCGTGAGTTTGTTTCATGGCTTGATGGGGGTCTGGGATTGATCGGATTGACCCACAAGGGGGTCCAGTGACAAGGGGTGGTGCACCAGAACTGGTGCAATAGATTGGTAGGGTTGCAGTACAACTGTGGCGTGCAGTAATTACACTCCCAGGCGCGAATGTATTGCTGGATTTTCGTGTGCAAGACATGCATACTGCAACCCAATGCAATACAATGCTCCTGCGCAGTGCATTTGCAAGACACTTGCCCCAAATATAGCACCACCCCCACTCAGCTCGACCCCCTTTTGGCCACCCAAAGAGGATGATGATGATGATGATGATGATGATGATGATGATGATGATGATGATGATGATGATGATGATGATGATGATGATGATGATGATGATGATGATGATGAGGATGAGGATGAGGATGAGGATGAGGATGAGGATGAGGATGAGGATGAGGATGAGGATGAGGAGAGGAGAGAGGAGGAGGAGGAGGAGGAGG